TTTACTGTGAGATAAAACGAATGATCCCAAATGACTAGGCGTTAGTCGTGTAGATTTACTGTCTTCGGTAGTAATCTCTTTTTCTTCAATTTCTGTTTCAACAATATATTGAGTATCATTAATTTTCTCATAGGTTTTAACACGTGAATCAAAGTTGGCCTGTAAAGTTGCNTCATTCCATAAATGTCTAGTTGTGAATATATCTTTCTGAATTGATTTACCATACAAGGAATTACCTAATAATTTCATGCAGTTACTACCCACGATATTACCTTCTCGTTTATATTTATTTCTTAAATCTCTCAAAATTAAAATATAATCTCTATAGGGTGGAGTTTTAAAATTTTCTTCGTAAACTATACCATCTAATATTCTAATAATTCGTCCACCGGCTTTCACTATTTCTTGAATATCGACCGATGTTAAAGCGTCGTGACAGAAACCATTTCTGAACCTGATTTTGTTACCAGTTTCCTTTTTACCTTCTTTATTCGTGAAAGTGATTTTATCTTTAGCTGGTATCGGTTGGAAGAACATGTTTTTGGGATAGTCAAACCACACTGTTAAAATATCTGTTCTAGGTCTGAATTTTTGTTTATTGAAGAGTTTCACAAATTCTTTTTCTTCTTCTGGTAGAAACGGTCTTCCACTTTCCGCTCTCGGATATTCACTGTCTAAATCCGACATGGCGGAAGCGTATAAACCGTTAGCATCAAATGCCATTAGTTTAGTACATTCTATTTTTTTAAGTCTCGAATGAACCTCCGTTTTGTCTTTTGTGCTTGCACTGTATTCTTTGAATAAATCAATTATGTTATTACTTTCTGTGTCACTTCGTGTTTCACTTTGTGAAATATATTCCTTTAATACGTTACAAATTTCATCCATTTTGTTCGTTTCAAATGATTTTCTACTTTGCCGAAACTCTTCCTCCTTTAATAGATCGTCTGATAAAATTTCTTATAAAAGGATTAGTGTGCGAATAAACTTTTTCTACGTTTTCTTTTTCGGTATGTTTCGCAACCATTCTAGTAGTTTCATACCATTCTTCTTCCACCATTTCTTTATCGTAATGATATAAATAATACCAACCCTTTAAAGATAAAGATGGAGCCGTTAGATTATTGGACATATTCTGGTTTACAACTTCTTTCG